CCGAAGTCCTCTGCCATAGTATTTATCATAACTCCCAGCACCGGACCGTGGAGTTGGTGGATTCTCAGGTGTTCCACCAGGTCGCCCTGACAACAAGACCAAATTGCGAAAACGAGGTAAACCCACACTTCTACAAGTCGAAAGGAGACTGCGACCATACCGAGGGCCACACCATCTTGGTCTTCATATCTTCGAAAAGACTCAAATCCCGCTCTTTAAATCTCCTTAAGCAATACCCATAGTCTTGTAGACTACTTTTGTCAATTGTTGAGCTTACTTCCATTTTGAGTGGAAGTGTTGGGTGAAGAGATTCGAAGGTCGGTTGCACCAGACGATGACGGCCGATTCCTCTTGACCAGCTGTCGATTATCTTTACTGGAAGATTCATACTGACGCTGTTTCCGAGGCGATCTCCTTCGATTCCGGTGAAAAGGTGCTAAGCTTTCGTCCGTCATGTGATGGACATCATAAAAGCGAGGTAACATCGTCACAACAAAATTCAAGCTAACGATTTAAGAAAACTCTGATGATGTCTGTCATATGACGGACGAAAGCTTAGCACCTTTTCACCGGAATCGAAGGAGATCGCCTCGGAAACAGCGTCAGCATGAATCTTCCAGTAAAGCCAATCGACAACTGGTCAAGAGGAATCGGCCGTCGTCTTCTGGTGGAACTGACCTTGAAATCTCTTCACCCAACACTTCCACTGGGAAATGGAAGTAAGCTCAACAATCATGAAACAAGAGATTCCTCGAAACCCAACTTTTCTTCGTATCCTTTTGTCAAAACACTGTCTTCCGTAGCCAATCCTTGGGGCCGTGAGTTAGCCTCAAGTGCCCACTGAAGAGTGTCGTCACGGCGATCGCTGGCCAAAGCCCCGCTACCTTCGGGCTCCGACACGTGGGCTGGAACTGGCACGGGGCCAGTTGAAGCTGCCTCATCCGTTGAGTTGAACAGTCCAGACTGGCGCTCCAGAGGGTGCCGGGAGGGGGCTCGAGGGGTCTGCGACGACGCGACTGGCCAACTGAAGCAACAGCTCGGCTCGTCTTGCATGCACACTTTCTGTTTATTTACACAAGCCGAACAACTCGACTTGAAGGCTACCGGTAAGCTGAGAGGGGGCGCGGAAACAGCAAGCCCATGTGTTAACTTTGGGAAGGCCTTTTCTAAAATTGCTTCAATAAATGAGATTGTTACGCTTTATGCAATGGGACGCATGGATTGACTATTGATCCTTCCGACTGGCTCGTTGCTATCTCTCAAGCCTGGGCGATTCGCAGGCCGGATCAATGCTCCAACAAATCTGTGGTGAATGGGGGATTTCGAGTCTGACCTGGATTCCAGCCCAATTCCGTGGTCCATACAAATACGTAGTCTTACTTTCCATCCAAACTGACAGATGCATTTTTTCTCCCAACGAAATTGAGGATCCACTGACCTGTATGAAAAGGTTACTAAGCAATTGCCACTTGGACTGGCCTACTTTATTTTATCACAGTCGAAATAGGTGAGCATCGACGCAAATCAGCCTCCTGACCATTTTGTTTTGGGCGATCAAGGACTGGTAGTCCAATTTTTCACTGAACTTTACTCACCTTTGCTCCCAAAAGGTGTCATTATTTCGGCTGCAGTGGACGGCAGTTCCCACCTCGCCTGAACTGGTCTCCTCAGTACTTCCGGCGGGACTCGAACCCGAGTTTTGCCAGTGCATCGTATAGACTTGAAACGTCTGATTCCCACCAGGGCTGTTGATGAGACGAGGTCAAACTGTAGTTTACTCTGATCGGGATGAAAATACCTTTTCTGGGAGGAAAGCTGTGTAAAATTTAATGAAACAGGAGGCTTAATTCATATGACTGCAAAACAAATTCAACTATCAGTTCCTTATCAACTTAAGCGGAATGACATGAATATCTATAGAGGTTGTTTACCTTGTTTTCGCAACATGGTCATATTGGTAGGAAGACTAATTGGAACGCACCTAGTCCGGGGTCCA